AGAAGACTATCAAGTGCCAATGACCAGACAACAGGTTAGTTGGCTTCTGAACACCATTAGGCATCATCTGCCCCAGCCTCTAGTTAGCTGGCTGCTGGCATATTCCAGTGTGCCACTGCCTCTGTAAGGCAGCCTAAGCACTCACGTGAAAAGCTGCAGGCTACAACACCAGGAAGTCTGCACTTATCAGAAATTTGTCCCCCTTATTCCTAACCATGTTTATGCATGTTGTATTCATAATGTTAAAAATACATTTTAATTAAATATTATGTAACTAAGGAAGTTGAGTGCAAAAAATGTTGTCCCTTGAATACCAAGAGAGCTACTTAGGAAAATCACAAAAGGTAGGGTGCTTTGAAGTGAACAAGAACATAAACATTACAGAGGAGGAATTATTTTAAATCTTGAAGGATGTGCTATTGAGAATCTTTGGTAGTCTCTGAGTTCTCATTCCACTTGGTTAAAAAAAAAAGAAATGGTAAGTGGGTACTGGTAGCTTAAGCTAGATAAACCACTTGGAACTCAAAGAAAAATCCTTAGTCCTATATCCAAAAAATGATGAAAGGTATGTTCATGCAATGAAATATTTAAGGTGTATAATTTTTAGTTTTCTCTGGTTTATTTTACTTTTACCACTACTAGGTCCCAGTCATACCGTCTAAGAGATATAGAAGAGATTTTTCATATGGGTCCAATTTAAATGTATCACCATACTTCAAGATACACAGCCCTAGCTGGATGTGGTGATCACATTTGTAATTTGTTACTTCAGAAGCAGAGATCAAAGGGATCAAGGTACAAAGCCAACTTGGACAAAAAAGTTAATAAGATCTTATCTCAATCAATACGCTGAATACAGTGCTTCACCTCTGTCATCCTAGCTTACCTAGAAGGCCATTGGTAGGAAGATAATAGTTTGAGGCTGGTCCCCAGCAAAAATGTGAGACCTTACCTGACACATAACTAAACCAATAAAAGGATGGAAGCTTGGCTCAAGTAGTATAAGTGTCTGCCTAACAAGAGCAAGAACCAGAGTTCAAGCTTCAGGATCGCCAAAAAATAAAAACTCTGGACTAAATATGTAGCTCAGGGGTACAGAACTTGCCTATCATCTGTAAAGCCCTCGGTTCATTTCCCAGCATTGTTAGGGATTAAAAAGTTATTGTGTTCTAAAGCCTACTTTTATATTATTAAAGGCACCCAAGCTTTTCTGAGTCCTTTAATTTGCAAATATATTTTCTCTTAAATCCTCCACTTTAACTTGGCTGACACCAGCTAGGCTCTCCTGAGAGTGAATCTGGTTTCCCTTCCCCACAGTTTATGTCAGCTCCATAACCAGAGCCCCAGATCAGTGTTTGATATAGAACAGGTACTTGTAAGTTCAGTGTATGTCCAAATACAAAGCAAGGAAAATTCAAAAAAGGATTCAAATCTATTCCAAAAAGAGAACTGTTTTATATGTGGATCCTTAGTAAATTTATTTTATTAAAAGCAATCCTTTAATTACTAAATTTGATACCACAAAATCCTTTTTTGTGTGTTTTAAAGTCCTGGGGATGGAACCCATGACCACAGGTTCATTAGGCAAGTGCTCAACCATTGAGCTCCATCCACAGTTTTCTAAGACACTGCCCAAAACAACTCAATCAGTCCCAGTGTAGAGAGTTGAAGGAGCTCCATTACAAAATGTAAAAACAATAAACAAAAATGAGCCTGAAAAATCTAGTGTACATTAACAAGTTCAATAGTTGGAGAGAACCACTATAACAGGAACTTTAAATATCACTTTAAGAAACTATGTATATATATAGTATTTACAAACAGACAATGAAGGAAGTAACAGTAACAGCATTAGGCAATATGTACTTGTAATTTGGTATAAAATTTTTAATTGATTCCAAAAAAGGCCTTATGCTAAGTGGTTCAAATGAAAACTAAGACTCTGCTCACCAGAGTAGAGAACTCCGTAAGTAGGCTGGTGACAGATAACCAAGGCCCAGCTGAAAAAGATGCAAGTGAAGACTTTATTAAAAAAAAACTTCATGAACTGCAAGTGAAACAGAGCTTACTTCAATCTATACATGATGCTGTCCAACATCCAGTTATAACTGACTTAGTACAATAAGCAGCTAAGCAGATGCTTATCTACATTCCTGAAAGAGTTTACAAATCACAGTTATTTCCAAAGAAGATTTGAGAAGCTTCTAATCTGGAAAATAGAGAACTGTCATATTTCTCTGCTGTTAGGTTCTATTTGGTGTTTGCTAAATGATGGAATGAATGTCTATCTGTTGACATGAAGCAACACTCAGGTATCAGAAAGCATCAGTGCAATTCCAGTGGACAGTAGAATACCAGAAGCCTATTTAGAAGTAATTTTTAGCTGAAGTCTTTAAGCAAATAAACACATACCTCTATTTCAGTCCCTTTCCCTTCTCCAACCATACATATATCCCTGGAGTATACATCAGGATACAATAGTATGCATCAGGTAATACTATTACCGAGAATGGTAATATAGGTACAGCTTTTGGGACCCACAGTTGACCAAGACGATTCCTAGGACTTCTCCATAGGTAAAATGCTACATGGGTATACAATTTCCACTTCTACTATTTGTTCCTCTGAAAATAATCAAATACAACACTTGATTTAATTCAGATTCTTTCCAAATCCAAACTTAGTCCCTTTGAGATGAGCTGTGCAGAAAGCCCTGCACTCACGTTGACCTAACAAAAAGAAAGCAAATGTGTGTTAGACTCACTACCTAGTTACCTGGTAGGCAGAGATCAAGGGACTGAAGCCGAAGCAAAAAAAAAAAAAAATGTTCAGAGGACTGCATCTTAACCAAAGGCTATACATGGTAGTACACACCTGTTATTCCAGCTATGGGGGAAGCAAAATATCTGGGTATTATGGTATGTGCTGGTCATACCCATACCCATAGAGATTACAGCCCAGGCCCACCCAGGCCCATCAGGCATAAAGCAAGATCCTACCTAAAAAATAACCAATGCAAGAAGCAGCTGAAGATGTGGTTCAAGTGGAAGGTCTGAACCCTATCGGAAAGAAGGAAGGAAAAAAGAAGGAAGGGAGGGAGGGTTCTAAGGTTTGTAAAAGCCCCAAAGTCATAAACAGTCTATATTGCCCATACAGAAAGCCAACCAGTCTCAAAATCTAGTCACCAAACATCCATTCCCTGTTATTACGCATCATTACTAAAAGTAACCAATTTCTACCCCTTTGACAAGTCCTAAAGAATGCTATAAATGCCATGGAGTTCCAGAAGGGCCCTAAAGCTGTGCCTTTCATATTTCAGAGGTTAACTCTCAACCTCTACCAAACACCATTCCCCAAGACCAACTGAGAGGACATCTGTAAATACAGCCATCAAAAGGTGCCAGCACTTCACCAGAAGCACAGTTCCTAAAATCATATAATTATTAAAGCAGAGAGGGCTTATTCTGCAAATAAAAATATTTAATTATAATACCTTAGATCAAAAACAGCAAGGGTAGAAAGGAAAATCTTGCAAATCTCTAACTGGAGCATTTGGCTGGTTTTTTTTTTTTTAATCACAATTGAAACCAAAGGAAAAAATTCCTCTTCAGCAGTGATCCCAAGTAGGACTATTTCTTGACTTTCCTTGACTGATCATTCTTGCTGATCCATAGGAAACCCCAATTCAGCAGTGCATGGCATTTAACTCAAGATGGACATCTCATTTCTAACCCTGGCAGTGTTGTAGTATTGAGCAATTCAGATGCTAGAAGTTTCCAACACACTTCAGGATTATACTTATTGAAAGGACTATGTGCCACCAACTCCTTAAATGGTCAAAAGTAGAGGAATCCAGTTGTGTTTCCTAAAACAAGTAACTTCAGTAAATCATCAGTAAATCAGTAAATCATTCAGTAAATCAATGTCCTTTTTAACCTTTAAATGTGTGTTTTTTTTAATTTAAAGACAGTATACGATTCAAGTACTTGGTGTCCCACTCCAAGCAGCACCTGTGAGCTACCCTAGTCCCCAGTTATAAATTCCCAAGACACCAAAGGATGTATAATGGCTTGGAAAAAGTAAATTTTGAAAACAAGTCACTGAAGCCTCCAGAAAAACAGAAGCAAGGAAGGCTGTACAGTGTATTTTCACACACTAACAATAATAATAAAAATTAAAAAAACAATGGTCCCCTGAAAATGCAGCCCTGACTAAGAGCCCACGAATCAAAGCTTGGTGACTAGAACTGCCAAATCCAAGCTATGGGGTGAATCCAAGTGTTCTGAAAACCTCCAGGTTAACTCTTTCCTGCCTATATTCTGCCACACTGAGTCCCATTCATCCTCTCCCCTCTCCTCCCTGGCTATACGGCAGGAGGCTAAGTCTTCCTGGCAACAATCAGGACCAGGAAAACACATGAAGCAGTACCTTGCCTCTGAATGGGCAGAGGGCATGCACAGGAAGAGTCTGGGGATCCAGGAAAAAGGGACTATTTCTGGCGAGTTGGAAGGATGATGCAAAGTTAAAAAGGCTAGACCAAAATAGGGGTGTTAGTAAGCAGCTGAGAGAAGAAACATCTATTCTGAGGGAAAGGGGGGTGTTGACTCACATCTGAACAGGTTTGGGGGTGCCATGGGACCAGACACACCACTGAGTGCAGAATCTGGGAGAGGAGCTGTAGGGGAGAGGTTGCACCTACATTGGGTGTCAACTAGAAGTCCTGGGTCAGGGTTTGGCACAGCAACACCGTAAGGTGAGCGGGAGGGGACTCAGATTGTCAAGAGATACGTCCAGGAGTTGGCACACTGGAATTGAAGAGTGACTGGCACCGAGTTCCTGGAGGAAAAACCAAGTTAGAGAAAGAAAAGCCAAACAAACAAGTGGGCCAAGTTGAGTCCACCTCTCGTCTCTGCTGTTCCTCGCGGTTGTCCCTACACCCACGTGCCCACACGCACTCACTCCCACACACAGTGAAGCCAGGCTCTGGAACAGAGTCCTACCTTGGCCGCAGGCACGCTCCGGTTGGTTGCCAATTCGCACAGGCTGGAGGTGGCGCTCCCCAAAGCGGCGGGAAGGAAGACCGGGGATCCAGGGGCGCTGCCCGCCGCGCCGCCCCCACCACCGGCGAGCCCGGGGGACGCACTGGGGCCAGGGCGCGCGGGAGGACTGCCACCAGGGCTGGTGCCTGCGCGGGGCCTCTGGCGGATGCCGTCCAGCAGGCGCACGAGCAGGATGTTAGCGGGCAGCTCGTCCACGCCGCAGCCCACCAGGATGCGGCACTCGGGGCAGCGGAGCTCGTGGCGAGAGCACACGATGCTCTCCAGGCAGCGGCGGCAGAAGGTGTGCTGGCATGGCAGCACCTTGGCCGTGGTATCCAGACGCTCCAGGCACACGGAGCACTCCAGCAGATCCAGCAGCGACGACTCGTCCATATCCTCGCCAGTCCCCTCGGCCGCCACCCGCCGCCGCCGCTGCTCGCCCGGCCTGTCCTCGTCCCCCTCGCTCTGCGCAGCAGCGGCGGCCGCCTTGGACGCGCACAGCCAGGACGCTCCGAGCAGCATGGGGGAGGCGCCCGCGCCGGCCGCGCGCGCAGCTGCCTAAGTCCGTGCACCGGAGAGGGGCCCGCCTCGGGCAACGGGCATGAAGACCGTCCCCGCCACGACTTCCTTCACCAGGGCTCACAGTCTGGGGCTCCGAGCGGCCCCGCCACGGTGCAAAGTGGAGAACCCGCCCGGCCTGCGTGGCAAGGCCTGGAGTTCCGCGAGCAGTGCGTCAACTCCGGCCAGCCGAGCCCGCCCAGTCCCGAGCGCGGCGCCCGCCGCCGCTGTCACTCCACCTGTCCCGCCGGGCGTCCGCCCCGCTCCGAGGGCAGGACAGGCGGCCCCACACGAGGTTCAGCGGGCTCTGAGCTCAGAGCGGCTGCTGGCCGCCGCCGGGAGACCCGCGACAGGAAGTGCGGGGAGCGGCCGGCCGGGTCCCTGGGGAGGCCGAGGCGCGGGGTGCGAGCTCCCCAGCGCTGCCGGCGAGCCGCGCCACCCCCGCGGCTCCTCCATGCGCCCCCCCTCCGGCCCCCGCCCCCCTGGCCCGCCTGCGAAGTCGTCGCCTCCGGTGGGTTCGGCTGGACTGTGCCCCCTCGTTCTGGGCCTCGAGCACGTGCGCGGGGGGCGCGCGGGGGGAGGTCGCAGTCAAGGAGGGGCACGCCGATGACTGGCCCTGTCCCTCGGGGCACCTCCAGGGATCCCAGAAACTCCTCCTGCGTCTGCTAGGCCCTCTCTCCTCTGGGCGCCCCTACTCTTCTTGGGGGTCTTTTCAAGCCTCAAAGAGGGACGTTGCTTGCCAATGGTGCTGCGAAGGAAAGTTTGGGCGACGTTATCCCAACTGCTTTCTTCGCCAGCGCTGGCGAGCGGCGCAGGAACACAGCCGACGCCCAGGCATCCTCCCCGACGACTGGTGCTTGTGCGGGGGGCCTCTGGCGGCGGCGCTCCCGGTCCTGTCCTCTCTCCAGGCGACGTGCAGGAGTGACAGCTGCGGGGGGTGTACCGTGAGGCGATCGGGCTGAGGAAGACGTCCTGGGGCCGCTCCGACTCCGGTCCACCTCAGCCTGCTCTCTCCCCAGTCCTGGGTCCCAAGCTGCCGCCCTAGCCCGCGCACCAGCACCCAGCACGGTGCTGCCGTGCGCCCTGCTCCGCGCCGCGCCCGAGGCGGCGCAGTGACAGGCGCCCTGGCGCCCGCTGCGGCGCGGTCTGGTGAGCCCCGCTCCGGATTTTCCTCGCGAGGTTCAGAGGAGGGGGGGGGGGGGAGGAATTCGCGCTCTCCTTCCCGACGCCCCGGCTTCTGGGAGCGTCAGAGCAACGGAAGTACGTTGGAGGACCGAGAGCAGCAGGGAAGTTTGGCGATGGGCTGCGGTCGGTGACAAAGATTCCCTGCCGTGCGCTGCCCCCTCGTGGTCACTTCGGGTTCCCACCGCTCCGGGTCCCATCTCCAGCCAGCTACAAACCCGAGACTGGTTGGAGGTTGACACAACCAATTCTTACCAGGGCTGACATTAGAAGTGGAGTAGATGGCCTGCCTAGAGGAGGGACTGTCCTGTCGTTTGAGAAGCTAAGTGTCGCTTTCCTAATTTTTAGGGAGAAAATCTCTATTTGCTGGTGTTTATACATTCCAAGAAAGTGCCTTGCGTTATTTAATCCTGCGAGTAATGATGTTTAACTTCATTTTTACAAATAATGAAGGTGAGGCTCGCTGCTATGAAGCCATTGGCGTGAGATTTTAGTTTTGGCATCCCCAGACCCTAATGACCACACCAATAGAAGTTGTCTGTAATCTACATTATCTTTTATACTGCAATATCATCAGTGCCTTGGGCACTGCCTGGTATATGGTAGGTACTCAATAATTATTTGTTGAATGAAGGAATGTCTCAGTCGTGGAAGAGAAGTGTGTCTCAAGTGGTAGAGCACCAGCCTTGAATGGGACAAAGGACAAAGATAACCATGAATCCCTGAGTTCAAGCCCCACAACTGGCACACACACACACACACACACACACACACAAAGAATGCCTCAGTCTTATCACTAGTGATCTGAATGCAAGCTATCAGGCTACAAGTCCTTGGAAATTTTTATCCTGGTGGTAGCAGGCAGCTTTCCCAACCTAGATATCTCCCAACCGCATATTCCATATTCACATCAGCTCTAGCCATGATATGAGAGATAGAAGACAATCCTTGAGTTGCCTGGCTTCCTTCAAGGCTGAAAGAAAGAAACACCCCCAATAGTGCGCAGAAGTACATGGGCCACCTTTTGCTCTCAGTACCTTCTTCAGGAATACCCAAGGGGTAAAGAACACAGAATGCTTACTCCAAGAGTGGATAATGAGTGCTCAAGGATGAGGAAGAGCATTAGGGGTGACTCCTTTAGGCCCAGGGAAGGCTGACAGAGAGCAGGAGTTGCCCATATTGACATGCCCTGGGTACTTTCAGTTGCAAGCAACAGAAACCAACTTTAAAAATACCTTAAAGGGAACAGACTAAGAAGCATCTCACAGGACTGTCGGCTAACAGGTGGGCCAGATTACTAAAAAATCCCCAGTGAGTCTTGGTGTTCTCATCTTCACAAGATGACTCACTCTTTCCTAAACTGGCATCAGATGCCTCTGCTTCCAACTCACAAAACAGAAAACGTGATCAGAGCTCCATGAGCATTACATCCACCAACATTAACTACTGATAAGAGGCTCACCTGATGCCATCACAGCTACCAGTTTTATAATCCTATCACCTAGCTAGCTTGGACCAGTAGTTGTTCTCTGCGTCTATAAGACAAGATCTTATAAAATCTGGCAGCTCTCTGAGGACTCACACTTCCAGAGGAAGTGGCATACTAGACAGTCAGTACACAGATAACCATGCCAAGAACCGGAGACCATATCCCTAGGTCCTTCATTGTTATGCACAATCAAAACCAAGAACAAATGCAAGACTGATGTATCCCTCTTAGCTTGAGTTTCTATTGCTTCCATCTTGCCCTATCAGCCTCTACCTTAGCCAAACTTCCACGGTGCACACAGACTGAAAAACAAAACATACATACCCTGAGAAGGACATATAATTTAATGCTACATGGCTACTGTGGCAAAGTATCTGGACCTTCTAAAGAGAATATCGACACTCAGCTATAGCCAATCACTCAGTCTTGATGAAATGGTGCTCAAGTATTACATCTTCCTGCCTTTCAAAAACAAGCCCAATTTTTACATAAGCTCTCAACAATGAACAACCAACTAACTTCCTCCCCTCAAAAGAAAAAAAAAAAAAGAAAGAAAATCCACACCACATATTTGCCAAACCAAATAAATGTGTGACCAACTTGGGCTAAAGACCACTAGTTTTTAATTTCTGACTGAAGTCTCTGAGTATGTTGTGTAAGGTAACTTAAGGGTGTGAATCAAATAGCTAAAGTATTACAAATTCAGTTTTATGTTACTCCATTAAATTTGCACATGTTCAGTAAGTCAATTATGTAAGTAAATGATGGAAAACCTGGCTTAACATCCATTCAAATGAAGAGATCTGGGGAATTTAGTCAACCACAGCACAATATGAGCCAACATGAGTCATCATTGTAGCATGGTTGCCTAGAAAAAGTCATGAAACCCTCAGATGCCTTAGAGGAAAGTAAGAGGTTGGGATATGGAAGAAATGATCCCATTGAATCTCAGGCTTGTCAGACTTCATTTGTAAGATCACTCCAATTCTAGGCACCAAAAACTAATGACAGAGTAGTGAGGGATCTGGGGACCTTGTCGATGAAATTAGGATGGAGGAAAATAAACCACCTATCCAGAGAGGAGAAGGCTCAGAGGAAACAGGATGGGGTGGCTGCATGTCAGGTTTTTGGCTGCCCAAAACTTGAACTCTTTCCTAGATTTGAAAGATTCTCTGCTTGGTGATAGGCAGGTATTTATATTTCCAGCAGAGATATAAAGACGAGATGTGGGCTTAGCCAACTAAAACAACTACATCACTAGTACTCTGAGAGGTAGGAACAGAGGCAGATGCAGTCCATGAACTCCAGCCATCATGGAGCAGGCAGCTAGCAGCTGACAAGCCCACAGCCTGGAGCCCATCTGGTGACAAAGCAGCCCTGGACAACTTGAGATAGAGAATCTCCTCTCCAGACCAGCCCCAAACAAGGTCGTGGTAATGAATCTAGGCTATAGCAGTCACTGCTTGGCTGTTTCCCTGTTCCATTTAATGGGTTCCTTTTTCGTTAAATCAGCCAGAGTCCGTATTTGCTGTTTGCACTGAGAACTCTAATTAATACATGTTATTTATTATCAGAGACCAATAAAGGTACTAAATGTGAAATAACTGATGCCATGCTAAACACCAGTAATGATCCCTTGGCCTTCATAGTGGAAAAGCATCCAAATGAGCCTTGTGGATCTCCATTCATTCATTCATGTAGCATGCAGTCCCTGAGGGTACTGTACCCTGGGGGCAGGCTGGGTCAGAGCAGAGGCAGAGGGTTGGGCCGACAGTGTGGTGTAGAGGGTAGAATCTTGAATGCTCTACAGGATCCCATGGGAGCTGACTCAGACAAGTGACATCAGTTCTTTGAACCAGAGCTGAATCTTCTGCAGATGGGAAGATGAAAGCATTCCAACTCCTTAGCAATGTAGGCCTTTGAAATAACTGAGATTGAGTAATATGTTGGAAAAGAATATTTGTCTTGTTATTGTGAGGTAGGATGGTTAATTTAAGTGTCAATATAATGGATCAAGGAACACCTACAGAAGTGGTAAGGCATTATTTTTGGGTGTGACCGTTGGAGTATTTCCAGAAGAGATTGGCTTACAAGTCAGTGGACTGCCCATCCAATTAGCTGGGGTCCCAGCTGAAGCAAAGGAGGAGGAGAAAGGATCCTTCTTCTCTTTCTTCCTCTCTCCCCCTCTCTCTCCAGAAAGAGTGAGAATACTGTCCTCCAAATCCTTCTCTTAGGCATCAGAAATCCAGTTTGAATCTAGAGGGGGGAGTCCAGGAACTATTTTATTTCTACCCAGTTCCTAGAACTCATGAATAAGACCAGAGCTAAAAACTTGGAAAAATCAGTGTACAGTCAGTAGAAGGTC